TATTAACAGTCGCAAACATTGACAAAAAAGGGCTATCATTATTTGGCTTAAAAGTTGAAATAAAAAGTAACTACATAATCATTTTGATCTAATGTGATAATGATTGTAGTGCATGTCTTTAATTCAAACTGGGGATAAAAACTACGGTCTTTATGTATCGTAATGAATACCAAAAGATTGAACAACTAAATTAGCTTTTGATATTTTAAATGTTTTGTTTTAATCCATTCCTTTTGAGTTTATGTATAATAATGATAAACGAAGCAAGGACAGCATCCCCACAATTGAAGAACATATGGAACTCAAAACAACTCTCAACCAATATCAAAGTGAGAATCTTCAATATGAACGTCAAGACAGTCAGTCCTACTGTACGGAGCTGAAATGTGGAGAACTACTACATCCATCGTCAAGAAGGTACAACTATTTATAAATAATTGTCTATGCGAAGTACTCAACAACCACTGACCGGATAGCATCAGTAACAGCCTTCTGTGGGAGAGGACAAACGAGATTGCAGCTGAAGAGGAAATTAGGAAAAGACGTTGGAAGTGGATAGGACATACATTGAGGAAATCGCCAAACTGCGTCACGAGGCAATCCCTAACTTGGAATGGTGAAGGGAAGTGGAAAAGAGGAAGGCCATAGAACACATTACACTGGGAAATAGAAGCAGATATGGAAAGGATGAATGTTAACTAGAAAGAACTGTAAAGGAAGGCTCAGGACAGAGTTGGATGGAGAATGCTGGTTAGCGACCTATGCTCCTCGACGAGGGGTAACAGGCTTAAGTAATAATCATGATAATAATGTATTTTTCTTTTTAAACTTATTCATTCACGATTTCTCATTACATAACTTCAAAACAATCATCGCAACTATCAATGTTAATAACAAGGAAAAGAATGGTTGCGCAAGATGATAGGGCGATTGTAGTTAGAGATCAACATTATTGAATGCCATCTCAGTTGCCTAGAGGTTAAGAATTCTCGCGCGAGACAGAAGGTTCTGGGTTCGATTCCTTATGGCGCGGTTGTGAGAAGTCGCAAACTCTGACGAAACGGCCGTCCAGTGCTTCCAGGTTTTCAGTGGTGGTCTAGCTTACATCGACTCATGAATTCAACGATTAAAAAGAATATCCATTGCCAACTAATTTCCACCATATTCCTTTTTTTAAACGGAGCTCATAATCTAATGTGAACTAGTTGGTATTTGTGGTGAATCAAAAGAAGGAGTTTATTTGTACCCGTATAACCTGGTCGCTTGATTGAAGGCAATTAATTATAGGTTCCTTTAATGACATATTCTTTTTACACCCATCGGGCTAATAATTTTCACCTGGCCAATTGCTAAATGCCTCATACAATGACTAGCAATCTCAATATCTGCATGTCCACGACCACCTTATGACCTTCAGTGGCCAGTTGGAAGATGAACATAGTAACAGATTCTATCTTGTATTACTAACTATTCATCATTATTTACTCAAAAACTTATTAGCTTATATGTAAATTAATTACGTGTCCACAAGTTACCATAATTTATAAATTATAATATGCACATGACTAAGCGATTAATGAAGCAAAGATCACTTATAGGTTCATAGTTAAATTTAATTGATAATTTTAGAAACAGTAAAAACACATAACATCAGTTAATGTATGAAATTCAGACATAATTTTAGTAATAATATATGCAATGTTTCTTCGCAGAATAGTTACGCAAGCTTCATGTTTTCCAAGTGTTCACTCTTATATTAAAGATATCAGGAGATATTTTCTAGAATGAACCAGTTTTGGGTACCGAAGTAAACCGGTCAAAAACTTCTTAATAAATTTTCAAAACTCCAGTAATTTGTGGCGCCTTATGAAGTATTTTATCATCACATAATATATACAGGATTTTTGTCTTAATTTTAATGCTACTGAAAATTTGATACACAATAAATTCAGACAATGTACCTCGTAAATTATAAAAAGAAAATCAATAGATTTTCATCCAAAAGAATTTTCAATGGGAATAAAATAATGTATTAAGATAATATATTATACGGAGTAAGTTTCTCAATACTTTTGTCAATGTTGGGGATGCTAGAACTCCAGAAATCACTTGATAAGCGTTTTATTTTGAAAATCTGAAATCCTCATTTTCACAACAAAATCGCCCATTTTCACCTTCATATTGTATTTCCCACTTGATAGGACCTTAAATATCATTTGTCCGTTCCTTCTCTTAATATGCTATTTTGTGATGTTTCTCAAGGGCATTTTTATGCTGTATACATACGCTTGAGTTGTGTGCTTGTTGTCGTTCGTACTTTTGACTGTTTGTGGAATATACTTTCCCTCATCCGAACTTGAACTACTCCCTCTGGTTAGCGGAGCTAGAACTCACTGGAATAATTTAGCTGTTTCGTCATTGTGTCACAGATCCTTCGTTCCGTTCAAGGATCGTTAGGTGATCTCGTAACCTCTTTGTTGTGTCTCGATAAGAATTATGAATGGTAACTTTTGAGGGCTATTTATGGACCAATATTATGCATATATTTTTATTGTATAATTGTTAACTAGCTAAACTATTCATATTCGTGTCCCTCTTATTATAGGCTTTACTTTGATCTATTAACTATTATTATATGATTTACCGTTCTTGAGTTATAACCAGGCCATTAATTACTGTTCCCCATATTCACAGCCACTTTTGGCCAAATCTTGTACAAATGTTATTTTCTATTTTATGGTACGATGTGGTCTGTCTGTTTGGTATATAAACTCAGTACGTTTGAATTAAATGATTCATATTGCAGAGTCTGAGACTGGTGTTCTGGATTTCACTGGCTGGGCTAGACAGAAAACAGAACCAATAATTACTCTAGACTGCTTATACGGATTTCGTTTGTTATTGATCTGATCGATAATTTACTGCTCTCTAGTTGGCTGTATTATCACGTTATACATTAACAAGGCACACAGGCCACAACTTATAACTCTTAAAACATGGCATTCATTTAGCAGATATTATACATGGTGAAGTGAAGGATAGCAACTATATTCATTGTTAATCTTTCCTTCGCTATTTACATTTATGCTTGATTAAATATTTGAAACTTTTACAAAGAAAAAACAAGTCATTTGATGAAATGCTAAAATGAATGCAACGACATGACTGATATTATGCTCACTATGACTGAAAGTCAAATTTCAACCGAATGTTTTATAAAGATAAATAAAACTGAATAACTAACAGAATGTATGTATGAAGGTCACAAATTGACCAATGATACTTCACTACATATGATGCTATAATTGTAGTTTGCACTCACGTAATCCAAAAAGAAAACAAAAGAGTTACCAAACAATCAAATATAAGTAAGCTAATTGAAAAAAATCGAATATTAGTGTATGACTATACCGTATAACAAAAATGACCTTGAGATGGCAACCTAAACGTGTTGAATATTTTCTGAATCGTATATTGTATCAGGTGTGTGAAATAAATGTAAATGAGATATTCCAAACATTTGAGCGATAACCGTTAGAATCAATTTTTAATGATTAATGTACTAAAAGGCTCGAGGATCAAAAAGTAACATGATGGGTCAAACGAAATAAAATGAAATAGGATCAGAAATAAATAATTACTACCATTTGTAACCACTAATTGACAATTTTTTTTAACTAATTTTCAACCACTTAATTGTCATCCCAATTTAATGTATCGAAAACATATACAAAACTAATGGAGAATGTGATAAATTTGCTAGTCAGTGAATGAAACAAATAGTGTTCATTGGATACACCATGAAACATTCCTCACTTTGATTTACTAAGTATCGGAAACAGACAAATCCATATCCAACTCCTCACCTCAACTTATCTGAAAAACGAATATTGTTCTAAAGATTTGTAAAAGACAGTAAACAATATTGGACGAAGTAAACGTCTACTGTGTGTAAACATTTTCACAACATTGAAAGTTGGGTGGAATTCTCATAATGATTGGAATATACATCAATTAGGTTAAGGCACAATCGTCAGATTTCGAAGTCAAATATGGATTTTTCGAAGAAAAACGTCAAGTGAGACTCGAAGTCGAAAATCCTTGAAGTGCTCTCAGGTTATTCGATCATTATCTCATTGGTATCAGAACATTACAAAATTATTAGTATACTTAATTATCAAATACACATTCACCAAATTACAAATATCTCCGAAGAGATAAACTTTAATTACAACCCATAAATTACGACAATTAATAGTCAAACTACGTAGAAATTGTTTAGACTTAACTCAAACTTCATATCTGCTATTACATTCAACTCGACTTCTCGAATAATCCTGATAAACATAACACAACACCTGACATCGATGTCAGACAACATAACCAAAACAATAACACTCCATACATTATGAAAAACAAACACATTAGAAAACACCGATCTGAGTAATGAATGATAGTCTGAAAAACTCCATTTTTGTGACAGGAAGATCCTAACAATGTGGTTAAGAACCATCATGACAATAATCGAAAACACAACATGAATAGTTGAGGCACAGAACCAACACAAAAAATACAGGGTTCACCGGTTGTGGATAAACATCAACAACTCGTCCATCGTGAGTAAGTTTGAGGATAACTAATACCTCACACGATGATCATAACAGTAGAATCACATCAAACAAACAATTAAACCAATAATCGAGAGAAAGCTTATTCCACCTGCTACCAACATTTTCAGTAGTATGCATATGTTACAAAATATTCACTCCATATCAATCAGAATCGATGAATATAAAAAGATACATAATACTGAGAGTCAGTATAACAACCGAAGACAATTCAACCACTATCTCATCATTCCCATTCATTCTGAAACATATTCATTCTACGACTTAATGTCAACAAATAGACTTGGACTTATAACACTGATGATACGACCCAAAATCATCACCGTCTCAAGTCTATCAAAAGGATTCTAACAATTGATATACTCATAATTCATATGATTTGACAATATCTGTTCAAGACAATAATATCACTTCAAACGACATGATATTATCTGGATACCTTTAGAAGTCAAAAATTCACACCACATAACTAGACAGTCATTATTCATTTTGTTCAGTACGTATTCTCAAATGTGTCATAAACACATGCTCACACACAATTGCTGTGTTTCTCTTCAGCGTAAACAATGAACACTAAATCAGTCAGCACATTACCAACCTAAACAATCATCCAAATACCAGCGAAAATGTACATCATTTCGACTGCAAATTCAAACACTGTGATATTAGTTGACATTCCATACGACCTTAAATAGAATGATCAATTCTCATTCGTTGCCAAATGACTTCGATTTTTCTATTGATTAACTGTTCGTTGCATGGTAAACAATTAGAGTCACGTGACTGTGTGTGTGTATGTGCGTGTGCGTGTGCGTGTGAGTAAGTGAGTATGGCATCAGCCACACAAAACTAACAGTTCCACTTCATTTCATCTCACCAGTGAACAAAATAATAATAGTGCAGATATTTCAGTAGTGAACGCTTGTGCTACCTTCTCACATTACCTTACTGAGAAGGAGACATTATTTAAAATGAAGACTAATTTGATAAGTTGAAATTTGTCATCAAATAAGAAATGTGTGAAGCCAACTAGTTAGTATATCGATGGTGACAACACTAAATTTCATTCAATCAATACAACATACCATTACCATTATTATTATTATTATCACCATTATTATTATTATTATTATTATTATTATTATCACCATTATTATTATTATTATCACCATTATTATTATTATTATCACCATTATTATTATTATTATTATTATTATTATTATTATTATTATTATTCGTCTTCATCTTCTCCTCTTGTTCCGTCACCTTGATCGAGAAACACCTATCGTGTTGTGAAAGCAGTGATGTGATTCATTGATTTCAACTTGTACAACACTGAGAACGAAAGCCTTAAATTATATCACATTTCCTCTTCAATCATAATCGAATTGATTGTGTCATATTGGACAAAACTAGTTTTGACAATACAATACAAATTATCATTCTTAAACACACTATTTGCTATGATTAAGTCGGTGAGTCGACCATCATGACAGTGAGCGAGTGAGTGAGTGAGTCATTCAGTATGTCAGTCAGTGAGTTACTGAGTGATTGATTAATTGATTGATTGAGTGTGAGAGTAAGTGAGTGAACAACCATCATTTCGAAATCTACAACAGACTACACATCCAAATTGAAACTGATATGAAAACTCTGATTGAAGAATCAAAGTGAAAATCCGTCTGAAGTGTTCGCTTGTGAACAATATTCTCCAATTCAACAACAATGTTATCATCATGTCTGACATGATGTTGATCAACTGAATGGAAAAACAAGCAAGCACGTGTTGGATCATCGAAATAACTACATTGATGCATATTATTCATTGATTGGTTGATTGGAACACACAAAGATTGGTACAATGGGGAACCAAATACCTATTCGTCACACAGTAACAATGAGGCCAGTTGTAGTTGTCATTAGTGTGTGTGAGGTCTGTAATACTGTCGTGGTACCCAAATCGAAGTAGGTGATCTCCTTAGGAATGCACACACCGAATATTTAATCTGAACGTTTAATCCACAAGACAGTGGAGCCAGGTTACGAGATTCAGTCTTATCATAGACGGTGTTTAACAGTGAGTTTAAACACCATTTAGTCCCTCAGGATCCTTGAACCTATGTGCACCACTGGTTTGGAACAAGGGTATCCAACTCACATGGGTAAACTCTCCGTATCCCCTAACCCGGCTAATGTGCCGGGCATTCGCCCACCGTCTTCTCAAGTTCTTAAACAATAACCACACTGCGAGAAAGCAGTCAATACGACTTCCCTCACAGTGACTGTATATGTGTGGCTATGTTAGAGCATTTCGAGGGAGAGGAAGAGCATTCTCACCACCCTCGACCGTACCAGGACATCTGGAGACATTGATACACATGCTACTAATTCTATATTCAGAAATTATTCGCTTCAATATGTATCCGTGTACGTGTCCATGTCAAGGTGTGTGTGTGTATTTGTTTGTGCGAGTGTGCTTGTAAATAAGCGTGTCTTATGAACATTCATACACTTTGCTACCATCCGTTCGGATCATGGAAAGAAACCGTGGTCTATGGTGTGTATGGGGGTGTGGGTGTGTATGTTGATCACCAAATGAAATACTCACGTGAGTCAGTGTCATATGATGATTAACTGTACACACATATTTGTCAACTGTCAAATGATGTGGTTAAAACGAGTTGAGCGAAGATGGAGATGGAGAGATGATTGAGGAATTAAATATCTGAAGAAACACTATCAATGAGAAATACAACGGACATCGTCCACACATTATTACCATTATTACCACTGTGATTATTATCATTACTGTTATTATCATCAGAGTTTGTTGATTTTCATATGATTTCACAAAATTCGAAATAATTCTCATCACAACATGGAGTTGGATGTGTGATCGATGGGATTCCATCTCATTGATTGCAAAGTATTGAGTTCACCATTACACGTGTATACACTGTGGTCTGTCCTATATGATGTTTGATTAACACAAAGAAAAATACTACTACCAAACTGATGTGAACCAATTGTCCAACACTCTCTAACTCCTTCACGACTCAATCTTAAATTTAAACTAATGTTTGAAAATAGGTAATATGATGGTGAAGACCACTTTCACTTGTAATCCTCTCGTCTACATTTCACTCTCTTCTCAAATATATTGAATGAAATCGAAAGTGACATGTGCAAACTTCATGTGAATATGAAGTGAGAGTGATTGTAACACCAACAAATTATCATATAATCATTTATGTTAGAAGATAGATAAATGTAGAAAGTTGAATGAACTTGTCTACTATTATCATTCTATCTAGTTAGTATTTATGATTCTAAGATATTTATCACTATGCATATTATGTAATCATTAATAGATTAAATGTTTCAATATATGAACATGAAATGTCTAGCTTCAATTGACTCACGCTTTCAACATGAAATGTGTCAAAATCGAAACTTAATGCCTAATTAAATTTTTTATGAAATCAACCTTGTCTCATTTGAGTGTTTTGCTAATCATAGTAAAAAAAACATTTATTCTCACACTTACCTTATAATAAATAATGCATCTGTGTTAGTCTTTCTTGTAATGTTGAACATATGGCAATAATTCCTTTACTCATTTCATACTAGTTAACAAGCAAATCAAATCTGTGCTGAAATTATGATACATTTTTGGATAAGTTTACCACTGTTATTGATAATATTTTCAACTTCATTGTAACATTGATGAATGGTTCTGTTTTTTTGTTGTAAAACCTGATGCCGTTTTAGACACTTCTTTTGGAGATTGTTTCACCTACGTATGATTATCTTAGATTTTTTTATATCCTTGGCATGAACAATGATGTTTGACCGGATTGATCATATTTTGTCTTTCAAGTTCAAATTTTATGCTTTCAAACAGCTTTCAACAATCCGTTCATTTTTCACCATTAATATACTACCACTACAACGAAAACATGTCTTTTATCGACTTAACTGTTTTGCTATTGTAGTTATGATCTGATTGCACTACCATTATTGTAGCAAGAAACTGTTTCTCAATTTCCACAAATGATCGTTGCTTCATATACTGCTAAATGTCGGTTAACGCTCAAATTCGAAGCCAGAGAGAACTTATGGAAATAATCAAGACTATTAAAAAGAGATAGAGAAAAGCGGAATGTTTATAGCACTCAGCATTCGATACTCTATAATAAAGTTTTGGTGGTCGAAAATTAAAAGAAAGATTCAAATCCATCAAATCATATCTCCAACAGGTCAACAGCAAGGAGCTACTCAGAATAGTATCACTAATTAAGCGGAATCATCATGCACAACTAATGTTCACTGATGAGCAGTTAAGAGACTGATAAATGTTGATCACATACATAACCGGCATGATTAAAATCAAGTGATTTAAACTACAAAGCTTGAAAACAGAAATACTACAAATCACGTTTCATTTTAATTGGGATTAAAGAGCCAAATAGAAGCATTTCAAAGGAAGTTTTAAATTTGGTTGTTTCTAATGTTGTTGAGGAAAACACCATGAGCATTCAATTCAGATGGAAGTGAACTAACTCATTGATCTACAAGTATTAAGTTGGTCTATTTTAATGACATTTTCGAAAGTTTGTCAGCTTTAGTAGCCTGTGTATTTCTATTGAGTAATTTACTGTTAGCCACTAGTCACGTGACTGGCTAATCTTCTCATATAGGTTGGTAAATAGGGTCCAGTCAATATGCCTATCGATTGCAGAGTGACCTGGATGCCAAGTCAAGAGAAATTCTCTATCATTCTTTGAGTTTCCTCGTTCCAAAATTTCGTAGTTTTTCTCAACCAGCTTCGTGTCTTCAGTTGTTGGTATGCATTGATATGAATGATAGCACTTATGTGGTAGATAAACTGGAAACTCACTTAGTCTATTATTATGTTTGTCGCAGTTGGCATAAGTGATTTTGTGATTGATACTTAATCTGTTTTCTTTCTCTGTTGTGTCCTTTGGGCTGCACAAAATGAAATAAAGTGTCTCTTATGGCTTGGAAGACGTTGATTCTGAAGGATTTTAGGATCTTTCTAATGATTTCTGAAATGGATTTCATATACTTTAGAACAACTCGTTATCTGATAACTGCCAATAATTTTTAATTAGTGCGTCGACTTTCTACATACCTTTTGATAAAATTCCGACGATAACTATTTTTACTCAAAAAGTGTTTTTCTGACTTTCTATATTATGCAAATGTTTCTCAACAACGGAAAGTTTTAAATTAATAACCGATTCAAATAAAAAACCAGATTATCAACTATCTACGATTCAAAAGTCAATCCGAGCTCTGAAGATATAAGAAAATATTGACTATTATCAGTGTTGAATCTATATAGTAACTTCAAATTTCTCTGAGAATTTTTAAACATTACTTTTGTATTTCGATAACTATTATTATTGTTATTATTAATACTAATGTTTATTTTATTTGTTTCCTCTGGAATAATAATGATAATAATAACACACACATATATATATATAAAAACTGATCTTATCATAATTAATGGAAAACTATTATCATCATCCACTTTTTTTTCAGATGAATATAAATAAGTAACAATGAAATAATCACTAAGTCTAAACAAAAAAAGTGAGTATATCCATTTCAATCGATATAATGATATGAGATAGTGGAGAATGATATGTTTTGTCTATTATATATATAAATACAATAATCTCTGGAAAAAAAAGCAAAAGTATTATCCTTGACTTTGTTCACATACATAAATAAAAAAAATAATTTTTTTTCTTTTGACTAAACTTATATAATGAAAAAAATGTTTACATATATAATAAATAGTAAATCATATGAATGAGACAATAATAATAATATGAATATAATTTTTTTCTTTTATTCATTGAACAACAACTATGTAAAGCATGATAAGTTCATTTAATTACGAACAATGAAATTATTTTATTATTATTATTGTTATTACTATTATTATTATTATTATTATTATTATTATTATTATTGATTATTGATTATATATTGATTGATGAAATAAAATAATTTAATTTGATTTTTTTTTTCTAGAAATTATTGATTTTTTTTATTGAATTTTTATATAAATCATTAATATTTGATTATCATATGGATTATAAAAAATTGCATAAACAGAATAAACGATTTCCATGTAGTTTATTAAAAATTGGGCATATTTCATGTTCATATATTGAAACATTTAATCTATTAATGATTACATAATATGCATAGTGATAAATATCTTAGAATCATAAATACTAACTAGATAGAATGATAATAGTAGACAAGTTCATTCAACTTTCTACATTTATCTATCTTCTAACATAAATGATTATATGATAATTTGTTGGTGTTACAATCACTCTCACTTCATATTCACATGAAGTTTGCACATGTCACTTCCGATTTCAATCAATATATTTGAGAAGAGAGTGAAATGTAGACGAGAGGATTACAAGTGAAAGTGGTCCTCACCATCATATTACCTATTTTCAAACATTAGTTTAAATTTAAGATTGAGTCGTGAAGGAGTTAGAGAGTGTTGGACAATTGGTTCACATCAGTTTGGTAGTAGTATTTTTCTTTGTGTTAATCAAACATCATATAGGACAGACCACAGTGTATACACGTGTAATGGTGAACTCAATACTTTGCAATCAATGAGATGGAATCCCATCGATCACACATCCAACTCCATGTTGTGATGAGAATTATTTCGAATTTTGTGAAATCATATGAAAATCAACAAACTCTGATGATAATAACAGTAATGATAATAATCACAGTGGTAATAATGGTAATAATGTGTGGACGATGTCCGTTGTATTTCTCATTGATAGTGTTTCTTCAGATATTTAATTCCTCAATCATCTCTCCATCTCCATCTTCGCTCAACTCGTTTTAACCACATCATTTGACAGTTGACAAATATGTGTGTACAGTTAATCATCATATGACACTGACTCACGTGAGTATTTCATTTGGTGATCAACATACACACCCACACCCCCATACACACCATAGACCACGGTTTCTTTCCATGATCCGAACGGATGGTAGCAAAGTGTATGAATGTTCATAAGACACGCTTATTTACAAGCACACTCGCACAAACAAATACACACACACACCTTGACATGGACACGTACACGGATACATATTGAAGCGAATAATTTCTGAATATAGAATTAGTAGCATGTGTATCAATGTCTCCAGATGTCCTGGTACGGTCGAGGGTGGTGAGAATGCTCTTCCTCTCCCTCGAAATGCTCTAACATAGCCACACATATACAGTCACTGTGAGGGAAGTCGTATTGACTGCTTTCTCGCAGTGTGGTTATTGTTTAAGAACTTGAGAAGACGGTGGGCGAATGCCCGGCACATTAGCCGGGTTAGGGGATACGGAGAGTTTACCCATGTGAGTTGGATACCCTTGTTCCAAACCAGTGGTGCACATAGGTTCAAGGATCCTGAGGGACTAAATGGTGTTTAAACTCACTGTTAAACACCGTCTATGATAAGACTGAATCTCGTAACCTGGCTCCACTGTCTTGTGGATTAAACGTTCAGATTAAATATTCGGTGTGTGCATTCCTAAGGAGATCACCTACTTCGATTTGGGTACCACGACAGTATTACAGACCTCACACACACTAATGACAACTACAACTGGCCTCATTGTTACTGTGTGACGAATAGGTATTTGGTTCCCCATTGTACCAAACTTTGTGTGTTCCAATCAACCAATCAATGAATAATATGCATCAATGTAGTTATTTCGATGATCCAACACGTGCTTGCTTGTTTTTCCATTCAGTTGATCAACATCATGTCAGACATGATGATAACATTGTTGTTGAATTGGAGAATATTGTTCACAAGCGAACACTTCAGACGGATTTTCACTTTGATTCTTCAATCAGAGTTTTCATATCAGTTTCAATTTGGATGTGTAGTCTGTTGTAGATTTCGAAATGATGGTTGTTCACTCACTTACTCTCACACTCAATCAATCAATTAATCAATCACTCAGTAACTCACTGACTGACATACTGAATGACTCACTCACTCACTCGCTCACTGTCATGATGGTCGACTCACCGACTTAATCATAGCAAATAGTGTGTTTAAGAATGATAATTTGTATTGTATTGTCAAAACTAGTTTTGTCCAATATGAAACAATCAATTCGATTATGATTGAAGAGGAAATGTGATATAATTTAAGGCTTTCGTTCTCAGTGTTGTACAAGTTGAAATCAATGAATCACATCACTGCTTTCACAACACGATAGGTGTTTCTCGATCAAGGTGACGGAACAAGAGGAGAAGATGAAGACGAATAATAATAATAATAATAATAATAATAATAATAATAATAATAATAATAATAATAATAATAATAATAATGGTGATAATAATAATAATAATGGTGATAATAATAATAATAATGGTGATGATAATAATAATAATAATGGTAATGGTATGTTGTATTGATTGAATGAAATTTAGTGTTGTCACCATCGATATACTAACTAGTTGGCTTCACACATTTCTTATTTGATGACAAATTTCAACTTA